CAATCAAAGAAGTATACAGGGACCATGCTCGGGATTACCTGTCCTGGGTCAGCCGAGTCCAGGTGCCAGACTGACGGGAGCACCTGGCCAGAAAGAGAGTGAGCCCCATCTTCATGGGCCTTTTAAAGGGGCTTGTGAGGGGAGTGGTTACACAACCATGCAATACTATCCCTTCTCATTTGATACATGAGTCACAGGGGGCAGGAGCGAATACCTTCCTGTGGTGGGTTAAAGAGTTAACTGGCACTCATTGGGATGGAACACAAGCTGGGCTTGTAGCTAAAAAGACTAATCGGACTCATCTGCGTCCAACCTTCTGGCCAAATTAGGACGTGGGGGGAAGAGTATACAGGAGAGGTGAAGGAGCCATCACTGGCTGCACTCCACAACAGTTTGATGTGGCCTGGCAGTCAGAAACTGTTCCCACCTTGGATATTGAAGAAACAGCCAGACTAAAGTTCACTTATTTCGAGTATTGTCACAAAAAGTGTACCATTGGTCTTTTTAAAACAATAAAAACATGTAACTGAAGAACACTGAAGTGAACCTCTAACTGCATAAATGCAACACAGCAGATGAAACTACAGTTTAGGAAAAACCTCAGCGCTTCACACCTGGTCCACAGGAGCTGATTGGAGAGAAGGAGTGAAGGGATGGCTCCTAAGAGCATGCTAACCAGGTCCTCACAGACTTGCTCATCCTTTCCAACTCAAACTCAGCAAATAGGAAACAAAATCCCACAGAGGTGCTAAACCAGTTCCTCCTTGTCCTCTCTCTCTGCCTGTCTTGGACTCTGCTAATGCAGGGTACTGGCTAGAAAAGATTCCCAAATTCCCACAGCCAGAAGCTGATTCCACTCCTTTACAGAGGTCTAGGGAGTCTGAACTTGAATGAGCCTTCCCTGGCACAGCAGCATCATTTGCAAGCACTGGTACAGGGGGCAAGAAAAACACTTCTGACCTTGAGCAAGTCACTCAACCTTGTTGACCATTAACCACCACCCCGACCCTACTCCCCAACAAAGAAGAAAAGAATCTAATTCCCTAAGGTCAAGGATCTAGGGTTGTGTGTGTGTGTGTGTGTGTGTGTTGTGTGAAAAAGATTACAATTACAATTAACTTTGAAAAACCCAGTTACTCTGCAATCATTCCAATTCTGAACCCTGCCATCCTCTGTTTCTTATACAAGGAATTCAATGGTGTGTTTTTTCATTTCATTTTTGAATAACATTTCCTAAACTATCATAAACTCATAGATAGATAAAACTTTAAAACTGGGGCTCCTTTTCTCGTCCCAGGGAAGAATTCTTCGGGTGGCAGTGGTGAGTGCAGACACCATCCTGAGGGGAAAAGCTGCAGCTCAGCCTTCCACCGAAGCCTGGCCTGGGAGGACAGGCCAGCGCGTCCACCAGCTCGTGCTGCATACAAACACCACCCTGTACCCCACCAACACATACCAGCATTATGAGAGAACGAAGGACGGAAGGACGGAAGGAAAGTAAGAAGGAAGGAAGGAAGGAAGGCAGGCAGGAAGGCAGGAACGAAGCCACCAGCCCCGAGGACAGAAGTGGAACAGGCCTTGCAAGACAGCATGAACCCAAGCCACCTGTGCCCACTATACCCAGAGACCACACTGAGTGCCAGGCCTCAGCCTTCCCTCTCGTCCCTGCACCAAGGACTCCAGCCCTCCCAGACAACACAAAGGACTAAGACACTGCCTGCCCTCGTGGCACCCACACCAAGGGCAAAGCCACCACCTGCACTTCCCTATCCCAAACAGAGGACCCAGCCACAACCTGTGCTCCTGGAACTCGTGCCTAGGGCCAAGCCACATCATGCCTTTCATGAACCGCGCCAATGACCAAGATGTCACCAGCCCTCCCAGACAACACACAAAGGGCCAAGGCACAGCATGCCCTCCAGGAACACTCACCAAGTACCAAGCCACGGCCTGCCTCCTGTACCCTGCACCTTGGGAAAAGCCCTAGGTGCAGGACAAGCCACCGCCTGCCCTCCTAGACCCCGTGCAGATGGCCAAGCCGCAACCTTCCCCCCTGCACCCCTACTGATTGCCAAGCTGCCGCTTCCCCAGCTGGACCCACACCCAAGGACAAGGTACCACCTGCACTCCTGGACACATGCTAGGGCCAAGCTGCCGCCTCCCCTTCCCGGAACCCTGTACCCTACGGGGATCTTACCTTGTAGATGTCCAGTGGGTCTGTGGACTCGTCCCAGCGAGGCCCAAAGACCAGACACTCTGGGGGCGGCACCAACTCCACCTCTTGCACAGCCAGCGCCACGTCCACCATGGCAGCCACCGCAAGGCCCTCCCCTGGCGGGGTGCAGGTGGACAGCACGGGCGACGTGGGCTAGCTGGAGTCCATGAGCCCCGTCATGTCCACTCACGGGCCTGCAGCACATCTTCCAGTAGAACTGTTCCCCACGGAGAGTCCAGCGATGTGTCCTCTTCCTCTGCTGCTTCTTTCCTGAGGGTGCAGGGCTGCCTCACAGGAAGTGACTGTGCGGCCAATCCCTCCGCGTCAGCACCACGCAGGATTCCTCCACCATCGGGGACCCTTTTATTCCTCCTCCTGGACTCCATGGCGGCTATGCTTGCTCTCCTTGTCCGGGTGAGTTCTCCTGGACGGGGACTGGGGCTCCTTGCAGCGCTGGGACCTGGGGGTGCAAGAGAGGAGAGAAGCACGTGCTTCTCCAGCAGGGAGGATGGTGGAGGGCTTCAGGGGGCAGAGGTGATGCTTCTGGAGAGGAGGGCTCCCCCTCACCACCACCAGCACCACCTCCCCTGCTCTCCTGATGCTCTAGGGTACTTGCATAGCTACGATGAAGACCCGAAGTGTTTCCCAGCATCCTTCCCATCCCCAGCAAAAATAAACACAAAAACAAATACTGCAGAACCAGGAATTTACGGAATACTGCAGAGCTCTTGGGCATCTGGCAGTGATGCCGCCCCTGCCTGATAAAAAGCTACACTGCGGCAGACAGCGCAACAACACTGGTGCTCCCATTCTCTAGCTTTCTCCAGTTTCCAGTGCTGGGGCGTGGCCACCTGCCAAAGTCTCTAGAAAACACCAGATGTGCCCTCAGCCGCAGAGAGAACAGTATGGATGGAACCATTTGCATTGACTCTCAGACCCTTTCCTGGTGAACTGAGCCTTCTGCCCTTTTTATTTTTTAAAAAAGATTTATTTATCTTTATTGCAAAGTCAGACATACAGAGATGAGACAGAGAGGAAGATCTTCCGTCAGCCGATTCACTCCCCAAGTGATCACAATGGCCGGAGCTGAGCCAATCCGAAACCTGGAGCTTCTTCTGCACCTCCCACGTGGGTCCCAGGATCCCAAGGTTTTGAGCCGTCCTTGACTGCTTTCCCAGGCAACAAGCAGGGGGCTGGATGGGAAGTGGGGCTGCTGGGATTAGAGCCAGCATCCATATGGGATCCCGGCATGTTCAAGATGAGGACTTTACCTGCTAGGCCACTATTTTAGAGAGAGAGATGTTTTAGGAGGCAGTACATTCCCAATGTTCTGGGCCTTTGAGTCACTCCGTGGACACTGTGTTTGTGTGTACTCGATAGAGCTGCACCTCTCCATCGACCACATCAAAGACATCATCAGGATCCTGCAGGACTTCACCCACTTGCTGGAGCACGGGATAATGGTGGCAACAATCTCAAAGCTCAAGATGGACCTCAACTTTGACAGCCTCTCCAGCAACCAGATTCACTGGGTCCTGTTTGGCTTCCAGAGTACAGTAAGTGCTGGCACCTGACCCTAGCACACATGTGACATCATAGGATGCAGGTCCTGTCTTCTCCTAGGGTGCCATAAGCTTCTTCTGTGTCCAAGCCTGAGCCCCAAGGCAGCAGTTCCTCCTACTCAGTAACTCACAAGGAAAGGCACGTGTGCACTGGGCCCCGCAGAGCAGAAATGGGAATCAACATGGGACCTGAGCAGCTCAGCACTGCTCTCCCACTGGAGGTTTTGAGTCCCCAGCATGCCTTTGGGTTCGTCTCAGAATAGATCAGGCAGAAATGCAGACGCAGGGGAAGCAGACTGGAGGCAGCCAGAGCCCATTAGCTCTGAGATACACTCTAAGACCAGAAATGCAGTTTTGTGATTTTTATTTGATTCTACTCTAGGTTGATAAAATGTTGAAGAACCACTTAAAGGGGCCCCACTGGAAATTAGCAATGGACAAGATCATGTACCAGGTGGTGTGGGCTGCCATCACCACTCTCATGCCAGGTAGGGTCCTGCTGGTGTCAGAGTCAGCTCTGGGCTCGGGGAGAGCAGAAGGTGCCAGGTTTCGATGGTGCTGCTTTTTCTTTCTGACTGTGGCTCTATGCTCAGCGTGATTCAAGGGCTACTCAGAAAGCTCAGTGTCACGTGTCCTCGAGACTGGAGGCAGCTGAGTGCCCACAGACTAGGATCGTGACCTAGGAGAGAATGACTGTCTAGGCCAAGGGTCCTCCTTGGAATGGCTCCGTGCCCTCTGCCAGGTGCTAGGTGGAGAAGCTGTTGGATGCTACAGCCTAGAGGTCAGAGGAACCCGAGATGGCTCTGCTGACCTAGTAGGAGTGCTCCTGTTGGCACAGCTGGCTGTTCTGAGTATACACTGCCTCCCAGCCAGGGCTCAGCTGCTCCTTGCTTGGCTGACCCCAGGAGCCTGAGGCCTGTGCTCCCCAGAGGCACCTTTTGTAGGAATCTGTCCCAAACCTGATCTGAGGTCTGGCTGCATCTTGGTATACCTAGCTACCTAGCTTTCTTCACACCCATGTGTCATGCTGGCTGTCAGCTGGGAAGGTGACGTTTGTACTGCACAGGGGCATGTGCTGGCTCCCCTGCCAGGCCCTGCAAGCTGTGGGCTGGGGGTGGGGTCCAGTCCCCTCCCTGGCTTATTATGGTGTCACTCTAGTAACCCGTGGTTTCCTCAGTGACTTCATAGAATTCCAAAGCTGCTCTTGATCTGCCTCTGCGGGATCAGACCAGAACGTGAAGGAGATGGACAGGCTGCCAGGTGGTGGTCCTCAGGCTGATCTGACCAACGCTGCTGTTGGAGGCCATGGTGCCACATCTGCCCCGGTGGGCCAGCTGCATCCGAGTGTCCAGTTCAACCACGTCCCAGAGGAGATCGCCAAGTGAGGCTTTTGTGGCTCTTTGGTCTGTGAGCGGGGAAGTGAACCTAAGGAACTGGGCAAGGGGGTATCCATGGCTTCAGCTGCCCCAGCCTAGAAGAGAAGGGCTCCAGAGTGCCCAGGGACCTGCCACAGGGTTAGGCTTATTTGGCACTCAGCCCTGTGCAAGGGCACAAGCACTCTGACTTGCTTCCCTGTCCCTTCAGAAGTGGCTGGCAGCTGTTCACCCCTTAGTTAACAAGTTGGTTGACAGATGGGTCTCACACTACCCTCCCCCCCTGGCAGAAATTAGTGGGGTATAGTCCCAGCCAGTGGGGAACCCTGGCACTGCCATGATTCTACACACTTACCTGATTCTTGCTCCCATCCATGGAACATAGCAGGTGTTCAGTAGATGTTCATGAACAAAGCAGACACAGCACCTGCAGCCCGCAGCCACAGCAAACAGGTGGGCCTCGCTCTCAGTCGCTGGTGGCTGTGTAACAGGGGAGAGGTGTCAGGATTACACAGGAGATGGAACTATGGACCTTGAAGTTTTGTCTCATGCACAGTCATTCATTTCTGTTGAGGAGGGTCTGTAGCCTCTGGTGGTAAGCAGTTGAGCAGTAGCCAGTGTGTTTATGCACATAGCTGACAAACATGTTCCCATACAGCCTTATGGCGCCCAACACTGCAGCTGTGGCTCTGAGGCAGAGTGGCGTGCCTGAAGGTAACCCGTCTGGCCCTGTGGCAGAACCAAAAGCTTTTTCTTCCACGTGGGTACAGGTGCAAGCTGGAACCAACTCCCCTGCCAGTGAGGAAAGAGGTAGCATGGGACAGGCTACAGGCTTGGTAAGGGAGGGTTTTTGCAGCCTCTCCCCACCCAGTGACCCCCGGGGTGCTCACCAGGGTAGTGACTACTTGGAGAACCTCAACCACTGAAAGCTTACTTCTGCGCACTCCTTTCTCCACCATGCATTAAAGAACCCGCCACTGGGAACAAAGGCCACGTGGCAGCCTGAGCTGACCTGAGGAGCATCAGCCTGTGCCACAGCCCTGCCTTTCCTGGCTCAGGGAGCCCAACTGTGTGGCTCTGAGGGATGGCATCACTACTCTGAGCCAGAGGTGCTGGAAGGCGTTCGGGCCGTGCATTGTCCTGCGGGAGGCCCCTTGGCCTAGCTCCACAGACTTGACAGTTCAGGGGGCCCACTGTGCACACTCCTCTCGGCTTTCTGGGTTAGTTCTGAGCACTCAACAGCTCCAAACTGTTGGAATCCACCGAGGCCGCTGTAAGTAGCAAAGGGCCTTTGCTGGGGCAGCCAGCCAAGGGCAGAACTGTCTCTGGCCCAGCTACAGAGCCTGGGAAATCCAGTTCTCTGGCGAGGATCTTCTCTTTGGATCTTGCCAGCATCTCACCAGGTCCTTCCTGGAAAACATCGGGATCTTCTCCAAGGGAACATGACTTCCTGCCCCTCCCTCTTTTAATACCATCACCTTAGCAGTGCTCTGGGGAGGCACAAATTCAAGGCCATGATAAAAGCATGCTCTGCACCTCAGAAGGAAACCTGACGGGGCAGGTGTCCTGCAGTCAGGCCACGCTCTGTCCTCTAACCTGGAGCCCACACTTAGGCCTGCTAATACCACTCTAGGTTGCACCATTGGTGAGTTCAAGCTGTAGGCTGCTTGGAAAATGGCGTGTTTTCTCCCTCTTTTCCTTCCAACCAGACTTTTGGAACACCTAATTCAGAGAGAAAGAGACTACCAGAGCTTCCTCCAGCAAACTCTGGAGCAAAAAACTCAAGAGCTATATCAGCTGCAGCTCAGCACGCATGGTGAGTCCCATCCCATCGGAGACCATCATGTGAGCATAGTTAAGTTCTGGCCAGAATCTTATACTCAGATTAAGATTCTGGGCAGCCTTGAAGAAACAACTGGTCATGTCTATCCAGAGCTTGTCATTGTAATGGGAAGCAGCCAGGGCTGCTCTGAGGCACTTGGAAGGGTTGGCTTACCCAAAGGAGGCTTAACAACAGTTTCGGGTGAAGGGAAGTGTGTGTGTCCTCACTTCATAGCCCTGTGTACCTAAAGGCAGCACTTCACTGACTCAATTCTACCTGAGTCTGGTCTGAAGTTACAGCTACTTCTTTGCCATACAGAATCGAGTAGCTCTAATATAATCTTCTTCATGTGAAATCTATCTCGTTATTTGAGTTGCCTTCCAGAGCTATTCAAGCTTTAGAGAAAAAGCATTTTCAACAAGGCAGAAGCACTCTGAATGGATAGTGAAGCTGCACATAGTAAGAGCACTTGTGTAGTCCCTAGTAGTGCAAGGCTGGGTCAGTTCATCATTTCCCATCATCTTTGCCTTCTGGTCTTATTGTATCTACCTACTTACTTTGGAAGCATTGGATTTCACACACTAATGCACAAACATTTTCACTTTATCACAGCTCCTGCCAAGGATCCTGGGCTCTCTCAAGGTCAGAGGACACAAATGAGTCTGTTAGACTGGTTGAAGCTACAAGGAGCTGACGCAGGCATCATTGAAAAGGTACCTTCTAAGCGAGGGTACTGACACATGGTAGGGTAAAGACTGAAATATCTGTATGGGTCAGGTTGATACACCAGCCTACTTGTGAGTGCTGTGTATTTGTTATCACCAAACAATGCTGACCACCATAAGCCAGTCCATGTAAAAGCTAAGGCTGTGGGCCTGTCTAGCACGGCTATATCCTAGTATCTGTCAGAATGTTGGATCAGGGATGGGTCACATTAGGCAGGACCATGACACTAACCAGCACATGACATAACCAAGTCTGGGAGTAGATTCTGTGGGGGATGTGTGGGCCCAACCCTTTGGAAATACAAGTCCCACTGCTTAGCTCAAGAGTTGGGGTGTTATGGGCTGCGTTAGGTGTGACCATGCAACCTGCCATCACTGATGGGTAAAGGGACCAAAAAAGGTCTGGACAGGTCAAGGCAGCAACACCGAATGTGCATCCTAAAACCGGGTGTGAGATGGAGCAGGCTGCAACGTTCACCAGCTCATACAAGGCCAAGATGGAAGGGCAGTCTATGCTGCGCACTGACTAATACCTGCAGGCATGTATGAGATCTGGGACTGGGAGTGGGTCAAGTGGAGGAACTTGGGGAAGCTCCTCTAATGGGTCATAACTCTCACTGATGATTACATGATCCAGGCCTGGGGTTTGGGCAAGCTGGGCAAAGTAGCTCCAATGACTGGCTAATGTGTGGTTTGGTTATGGAAGTGGGCGTTATGGACTGGGCAGGGCTGAGCAAACCTTTCCTCACCAGCAACAACAGAAGTCAGGCTGGAGCACAGGTCATGCTGAGCTAGATTTTGCAAGAGCCAGGGATGCCAGGCTACAGCATTGAAGGCAAAGGCCTAGACAAGTGAGGGGTTATGCCAAGCTGGGTCAGAGCAACCACTAGCATGTACACAATCTATGGCTGGGAACAGGCCTGGTTGGGAAGCTAAGAGGACACCCAGGCTGGGTTGAGGCTCCCATTGGTGTGTGCCAGAGCCAGAGTGGGGGCTGTGTTCTGGTCTGGATATGGCTACAGTGTCCCTTGGCACAAGTGTGGACTGGGACTGGGCATGCTGAGCCAGCCTAACCTCAAGCACTAAATAACTGGTGCTCTGGAGGACCAGGGTAGATATAGGATGGACTAGACTAGGTCTCTGCCCCTACTGAACCATGTATGAGCTGTGTCTGGGTATAAATGAGCTTTGGCTTGGCTGAAACATCCAACAGTAAGAACCAGAATGGGTTGAGAGCCAGTCGAAAAAGGCCATTGGAAGAGGTTCTGATGGAGGAGCTTGGGAAACTCCTCTGTCAGGACAGAGTCCCTGCAGCTGAGTGCAAGAACCACAATAGGGAGCAACGCAGACCAAGCCAGAGAAAGGTATTCACTGGCATACATTTGGAATCAGTCGGGGGCAGACAAGCCTGAATCAGTTCACATCACCCACTGGCGAATCCAAGCACCAGAACAGAGTGTGGGTTGGACTAGGTTCAGTTGCAACATATACCAATACACTTTATGACTGGGACTGGGTGCCTGCTGGGCTGGGCTACGCTGCAAGCCCCACCAACAGGAGCTAGAATTGGGGTGGGTCAGGCCGTGCCAGGCTACAGTACCCAATGCAAATGCTAAGGTGAGGCAGGCCATGTCAGACTAGGTCACAGCACCCAACTAGCACATGTGAGAAACAGTGGGGGAGGAGACAAAATGGTAGGAGGAATGTGGAGGGCTCCCTTGCTGGACCATCACTCCCACTGGAGAGCATGAGTTGGGATGTGGGCAGACCAGACCAGGCAGGGCTACAACACCTGTGGTTCTCATGTGGGCTAGATCAGGGAAAACCAGGCTGGGCTGACTGGCAAGCATAAATCTGAGAGGGTGAGGGTTGGTTGGGCTTTGCTGCAGTAGCAGCTGGCAGAGGCTGGCACAGGGACTGATTCTGTCAAGTCAAACTCCACTTGGAGAGTGTATGATCCTGGAGTGAGAGTGGCCCAGTTGGGAAATAGTGGGCACCTCCCTCTTGGTTATCACTCCCATTTGACAGCATGAAAAGCAGGACTGGGGCAGGCATGGCTAAGCAGAGAGTGGCACCTGCCAGCACATGTGTGTGGGCTAGATAGTGGGGCTGGTTGGATTGAACTTGGCTTCAATGCCCACTGACATGTGTGAGGTCTGAATGGGATGTGGGTCAGCTTGGACAAGCCCGCTGCACATACTGGCAAGCACAGGAACCAGGGCAGGGGGAGAGCACGGTGCGGGTTATTGTGGGTTGCTCCGACTAGGCTGAAGCTCCCACTGATTTGTGTGAAGGTTGAGTGTATAATGGGCAGAATCAGGCTGGACTGCAATATCCATTACTTTGCATGGAATACAGAGCTGGAAACAGAACTTACCCAGTAATTGCAACCACCAGCAAATGTATAAGCTGATTGGGGTGACAGACTGTGCCAGACCCTGTATTGCCATGAATACACAAGTCAGATATCATCTCAGAAAAAGTATCTCTGGGGATCACTCCAACTGAATTGCTGATCTCAGAATGCCAACCATGAAGAGAAGTGCAGGTCCCATGGTCTGACCATGCAGTGCAAGCGTCAAGGCTCAGCCTCCTCAGAGGCTCAGATGGAGCAGTGGACAGCATATCCAGGTGCACATGAAAGATATGGCAGTCCATCGGAACCTGCAGAGGACACCTGGTACTACAACAAAGCATGGAGGACAGAACAAATCAATCAAATACCCCAGCCATGTGTTGGCAGTGAAAATTGGGCAAATGGAGACACTAAGGTGGACTATTTCAGCCAGTGGATTCTGGAGTGATTTCATCGTGCTTGGAATGGCAAGATTTGCAGCAATTCAGAACTGTTGAACTATCAAGACTGCTTGAGCAGTGCCCTTGGAGCAGCGCCCACATTGGGCACCTTGGCATGGGGTGGGAGGCTGGATGGGGCTCCTGCCTTTATTTTTCTCCTTACTCTAGATGCAGGGAAAAAAAATGCAGAAACAGTGGTCTTACCCAATTTCCTGTAGCCCTCGGCCCTTTGTGCCCTAATCAACCATGTAAAGATTATCAAGATATAATAATAATTTTTAAAAGAAGGTACCATCATTGCCAAAAGCTTGCTCCTGCTCTGCCACTCACAAGTGCTCTTACGTGGCTGCTCTTTGTTTCAGATCGTTGAGGAAGGCTACCTGCTGTCTGCAATTCCTAGTGACATCACTAAGGAGAATCTGAGCCATCACCACCTGTGGTAAGAGTCACAGGATGTCCCCCTTGCACAGGGACTGCGCCTTAGGGGCTTACAAAGTGCTGGCCAAGTTCCCTCCCTTTGTTGCCAGGGAGGCAAGGAAGGACGTGAAGGCAGACAGGCCACAGCCCGCATGTCATCTTTATGCAGTAACTCAAAGAAACAAAGGGCTAGGACCAACCTGCTAAGCTACTAGTTGTGACATCTTCTCTACTTGTAATTCAGTCTCAATGTGCCCAGGCCCCTGCTACCCACATGAGAAGGCCACAGGAGAGTTCTCTGGCCAGGTCCTGCTCTTGTGGAAACTTGGGGAGTGAAGCAATCCTTTGTGTCTGTATTTTATTTTTAAAGCTTTGAAGAGCTTTTTAAAAAATTCTGAAAGGAAGGGACAGAGCTTGCACCCATTGATTGGCTCATTCCCCAAATACCTAAAAAGGCCAGGGCAGGAATTCCATTGCAGTCTCCCCTGGGGTGGCAGCCTCCCTCGTTGGGCAACACAGTATCCACCTTTAATATATTGGTGGTCTTCCACAAGCTTTTCTCAGGACTTTGCCAAAAGGCTTCTGCTGCTCTCTTTCTTTCCTAGGGGTGGCCTCCTCTGCCAGTTCTGGAATGCCCTCTCCTGGGATGGAAGCAGGCTTGGTGGGCCTCACTAAACCACCAGTAGGCCCATGGTGACGTCGGATTTGTCTGTTATGTGCACACAATACATTAGCAAGATCTCAACATTGTAAAAAAGCAACAGAGCCATCATGCCTTGGTTTTGGCAACCTTTATATACATAGATTCAGTGCCCTGGAAAAGGACTCACCATGCATGCATGCTACAGCACTGGGTGGTAAAGGATAGGTGTTTAAAAAAATAATAGCCTGGGAGTCGCTGTTTTTGCTCACACATAGGAGTCAGTCCAACACTTAACAATGCGCCTTGTAGCCGATGTGAATGGACAGGCGAATTAAACTGTCAGATGGCTGTTAATTTCATTTGCACGTGGAGTTGTCTTCCTTCCCCTCTGCTGCTTACACTGTTCGCCTCAGGACCAGGACAACTGTCAAACAGGCTAGGCTACTGTGAGTATACCTGTGAGGGCACAAGTCTCCCCTTCCCACGATGCCAGGGGAGCAGCATGCCCACAAGGCATTGTTCCTTTGACTGACTAGAGAGGATTTGCTGGAAGTGTAAAATAGCGGGGAATGGTTAATGTCTGCATTGCCCCATAGTCACACTACACAACAATACACAAGCTGCATGCAACCACTCTCCCTTTAATCTACATAGTGTCACTGAAAGCTCACAGGGATTTTCATTCCTCAAAGTTGAGAACATGCAGGGGGTCTCCACACCACTGCTGATGGCACAAGCCTCCCTTTGCTGTCTCTGGCCTCTTGTTAACCGACTTATTTAAACTTGATGCACTGACTGGCCCCGTGAACTTCAAAAAGGGGGATTGCTGCTGTAGATGTGGCAGCCTAATTCCTCCAGAGGAGGCTCAGGGTCAGCTGTGTCAAAGTGCGTGTTGTCCTCAATTTCCTTTCTCACCTTTACATCAATTACATCGTGCTGGAAAGGTCTGTGCTGGGGCCTGGCCCTGTTGACATGCTGTCCATGTCATTTTACCAAACTGCCCCTGGGTTCTGTTTTAGGGACCCATCCTAATGGAGCTGCAGACTTACTGTTATCACAGACACAGTATGAGTGATCCTGGAGTGAGGCATGCTCAGGGAAGCGGAGAGGGTGTTCCAGCTTAGGTGGGCTTTGCATGCTACCACAGTAGAGCAGTCCAACATTGGCTTTTAAATCCATGCACCAGTTTGCTTCACTTGCCAAATTGGTGTGTTGACATTAAGTGTTAGGCTGAAAGCAGTGCCACCTAAGAAATTGCTTCCAACACGGAAAGCATTGTGGAAATTCCTCCACTATAGAGTAATAAAAGCAAGCTTTAAATCACTTGGTTCCATAGAGAAACGAGACGGGTGTAGCAGTATAGAGTGGTGGCATTGGGGGCACTGAGCAAATGGCACAAAGTCCTTCCGAAGGTGGTCAGGATTTGGGAACGTTCTAGGAGATACAAAGCAAAGTTAACTGGCACATGGGGACTTCCGAAATCCAAATAGGTCAATCCAAAAACCCAGGCTATACTGGGACAATGGGGGAAATGTCTGATCTGCCACCTCCAGTGTGATAACAGTGGAAGTGAACAAGCCTCCTGTAGAGTGAACTCTATGGGAAAATGCACTGTGGACATTGTTGGGTACCATGGGGAAAGGCTCTAACAGTGTCACAGTGGAGAGCCTGGAATCCCCAGGTATGCTGGCACTGCTGCTTTGGAGTGGGAAGGGAGAAAAAGAGAGCAGGTGTGTCTTCCTGCTGATGCCTCAATCTATGAGGGCCATTGTTCACCACGCAGTTCCATGGCCCCTATGCATGTCTTACATCCACAGCAGATGCAGGCATGAACTTGACCCCTGCAGGAGTCATGGAAACTGCCAGCGTAGTTTGACATTGAAGCCTATAGCTCTACCGCTGCTTGGGTCTCTCAGAACAAAGTCTGCTATTGCCTTGAGGACCTAAGGAGAGACTTGAAAGCAACAGTTGGATATGCTGCAAAGCCAAAAAGTTTGAAATCTAGGCAGGTTTCCGTCGCATTTTCAGGCACCACAGTAAAATCCCAAGGCTCCTGTCATCTCGGATATATTTGTATTTTGCTAAGCTGTCTGCCTCTGTTTCCCTCTCACCATTTACCACACATGAAAATGGATTCCGGAAATCAGAAGTAAGAGTGACCCCATCATGCCCAAACTGGACTTTGTGCACACTGTAAGTTGCAATTGCTGGGTCAGGTCTGCCTCAAGTCCAGTCTTCTACGCAAACTAACGGGTATTGCAGTCCAGCCTGATCCTGCCCACCACACACTCAGTCCCCACGCAAACCAGTGGGAGTTGGTGCCTAGTCTGAGCAACCCACAAAAGCCCCACCAGACCTGCCTCTTTCCCTGGTTCCCATGCTTACCAGTATGTACAACCAACTGGTCCTGTCAGTCCCACAGCCCAATCAGTTCTCATATGAGTCAATGGGTGTTGAAGCCCAGTTTAATCCAACCCACCCCACTCTCCAGCCCACAACTGTGCTGCTGGATGCTACTCTGTCTAGCCATGCCTGTCCCAGTCCTGGTTTTCATTCTTACCACTCTGCATGGCAAGCCAAGAGGAAGGTGCCCACTGTTTCCCTACTCCCAGATCTCGCATTCTCCAGGTGGTACTGCAGTTTAACTTCACAGACATGTCCTTCCATGCCAGGATCTGCTCACTGATATTGTGGCAAAGCCCAATAAATCCTCGTCCCATCTGGTTTGTGCTTGCACCAGTAGGTATAGTGTGCCCAGCCTGGCTTGTCTCTGATCCAGTTTACGTTCAGGCCAAAAGGTATTGTAACCCTGTCTGGCCTGGTCTGCCCTCAATCCCAGCTCTCATGCTCACCAGTGGGAATAGTGGTCCATCCAGGGGATCTCCCTGCAGTCCCCCATCAGTTCACCTACTCTCCCCCAGGTCTCATGTGCTGGTTGAGTACTGTGGCCTAGTCTGTTATGTATTGCCTGCCTCACCTCGGCATTTGCCAGTGAGTGCTACAGCCTGGCCTGGCCTTGTCCACCCCCACTTCCAGCTCACACTGGTGGGGACTACAGCCTAGCCAGACCAGCCAGCCCCCAATCCCAGCCTTAGTGTGAACTGGCTGGTATTGCAGCCCAACCCAGCATGACCCACACCTCACTCTGGCTCTCGGATTTGCCAGTGGCTAATATGAACTGGTCCAAAGGTAAGCCCATGGGCACTGTAACCTGGTCTGGGCTATTCCCTTTCTTGCTTCTTGCACTCCCCTGCAGGGACTGTGACCCAACAGGAGAGTTCCCCAATCTTCTCCATCAAAACCTCTCCTAATACCACAACTTACAAACACCACTGGGTCCATGGGCCAGCCCTACTTATTGCACCTCCTGTCCTCATAGAACAGTGGCCTTTCCTGAATGGCCCTCACTCATTCTGGTTCTTACTGTTGGGTGCTGCAGCCCAGCCTAGCCTGGTCCGAACCCAGACATAGATTACACATAGCTCAACAAGGACGGAGATCTAACCCATCCTACATCCATCCTGTTTCTCACCAGCTCCGATAGGTGCTGGAATCCAGCCCAGTATTGCATACGCCAAACCCAGTCCACATCCGTACCGAGGCATTATTTGTAGGGTTTATAGGGTGGTGAAAATTCTCTTCATTTCTGTTTGTTTTGGAAGTTCTTTCTTTGGACTTCCTCTATAAGTGACAGCTTTGCTGGTATAATGTTCTGGGTTGGCAATTTCTTTCTTTCAGTTCATCAATTATGCCTCTCCATTTCTCTTAGACTGTAAGGTTTCTGATGAGAATTCAACTGAAAGCTTGGTTGGAAATCCTCTGAAAGTAACACGTCTTCCTTTCTGCACATTTTAGAGTCTTTGTTTTACTGGAGAAAGATGACTATAATCTATCAGAGTTCTATATGATTACTCGACTTGAATACCCATTTCATTCTTCATAGTAGGGAAAGCGTTCATTATTATTTTGCTAAAGAGGTTTTCAAACTCATTCTTTCCACACCTTCAAGAACTCCTAATGCATGCATGTTAGGCCATTTGAAAGTACCCCATAGGTCTTGAGCACTATTTTTGATTTCTCTTATTTCTTCCCGCCCCCCCCCTTTTTTTTAAATGAGAGTTGTCAAAAGATGGATTTTCTAGCTCAGAGTTTTCCTTCTGTTTTTTCAAATCTTTTGTTAAGAATTTTCAGTGGATTTTTTGTTTGGAATATTGAATTTTTAATTTCTTGCATTCCACTTAGATCTGTCTTCAAAGTTCATGCCTTAAGGGAAAAGTTTTGATTCAGGTCATATAGAGATGTTCTCAGTTTTTCATTTGCTTCTCGTTGTTTTTGAGATGCTTAGGATCGCATTTAAAATGTTTACAGCAATGCTTCTGTTTCTTTCCGGGGCAATTATAGTGTCTTCCTCATTTATACTACTTCTATATCTTGTTAATTGCTAGGCGTTTCAACAAGAACATGTAGTTTTTGTCCTCTGGTGGTTTTTTCCTTCGAACCTGTGCTTCTGTGGCTTGCTGGAGTTCCTTTAGTGGAGATATAAAGGTATGTTCCAGGAGTGGGCAGTGTACTCAGGTCCTTGCTCAGATGTGGGGTGAGAGGCCAGTGACACCCGGTTTGAGCGTGGTGGACTACCTTTTTGTCTGCACAGGGGAAGCAATGCTCCTGAATATCAACACAACCTCCTCGTCTCCACTCTCTCAAGGTGATTGACACCAGAGGTTATGTCACGGTACCTGTAATCCACCCCCTTTCCAGAAGTATCATACAAGAGAGCTATGCGGTTGTGTTTGTGTCCTGAGACCCAGCTATGCACTAACATTTTTCATGCAGTCATACAATTCCCACAGTTTTTGTATGCAGGATTCCCACAGTCACGGGGGGCTCAGACAGCACTCAGCGCCACAAGTCTCTTCTGGCTACGAAGAACAAGGTGTTTTCTGCACCAGCTTCCTTTGAGGTTTTGGACTTGGCTGCTTATTCCTCAGCTCTGAGGGTAGGCTTCTCAATCCCTGTGAGGGCATGGCTCCCTGACCAGCCATCGAAAAAGTGTCTAAGTCAGTGGGGAACAGAAAACACTATTTTCACGATAGAACC